GGCATTCTGTAGCAATCTAGACTGTAAATAAAGAAAAGTAAACGATATTCGAATCTGTACCTAATAATTTTTTGGATAACAAATACATCACATGGTTGGCTATCTCAGGTAGAATACGTTAATCAATGGACCCATTCCAAAAGCAAGTCGGGGTAAACCTTTCTGAAAAGCACCGTATGTGTTATTGCCTTGCTGTCAACTTTTTTGATGTCATTTCATAAAAATTATTCATCTTCTCTTATGCAAAACTCCCGGCCGTGTCGTTTAAATGTTATTCGACCGCTATTAAGCCGCATTCTGCTTCGTCACTCCGCAATGGTGAAGGCAAAGAAAGCACTTTTAAGTTGAGCTCGCCGCCGTCAGCCAGCGATGGGGTAGATAGTCCAAGATTCCATGTAAAGTACCAGGCGTTGTAGGTCGATAGCTCCGCCAGTATAACAGGTACACTATAGCGACGAAGAATCACAGACATGCCTATTTTAGAAAGAAAGATCTATATATTTTATTATATTCTGAAATCATTCACGATTAAAAGTCGGACAAAAGACTCAACCTTAGCAGTTTGTATGTTTACCCGACTAATCTCAGAAGCGGGTATGTTTTTACATAAAAAAAATGTATTCCACAGGCTATATAAATAAAATGGTGGAAGTGGATAAAAAAATTCGGCCTTGATATTCCCCCAGCAGGGGCTACAGCTTAAGAGGCTTGATGGATTTTGACCTTTGAGGTATCTCTAAATTTGTCTTGACAGTGTGAATGCTACTGGGTATACTAAAATTTTATAAAAACAAAATGACGGATTTTAATAAAAACGCTTAACCTTGAAATTCCTATATCATGGGGTATATGTTAAACGGAATTTGACATACTATTGATTTGTAATTATATTTTAATCTAAAATTTCAACTTTCAAATTCCTATTCTAGAGGTGTCTCTAGATTGCCCTTGATAGCACAATCTAATCTTCATTCTTGTTGGTTACTGCAGTCCGGTTGTTTTTTTTTCAAGTGTACATACATGTTGTAGAAAAATGCAGATGCGATTTGCAAAGTCTGATCTCATATGCCTTTTTCACATCTTCCTGAAATGTTCTCCAAGAAATTAACACACCGGCCAAATCATATTTTTGTCTGAATCAGTTGCCCGATTTGGAATATATTTCAGTCAACGTTGACTGTATTCTTCAGCAAGATAGTATATATTTACACTATTCGCGTAGCTTATTTTTATATACAACTTACACTTTTTCGTAAAAAATAGGGTAAGTTCAAGCAGCTCCTCTGACTGTTTAAAATAAAACCACATTGAACTTCAAATTGCTTCTTTATCTTTCATACGAAGACTCAAGAAACAACAAAAACTAAAGCACAAAGTGGTCAAAATGAGGCATAAATCGGAGAGTAACGTAAGTAACTAGTTTTCCGCGTCTCTACAAAAAAGGACACTTAATCATGCGTAAGGGTAATTCAGGTTTAGTCCTTCCAAAACCTGAATCAGGCGGTTTTAATTTCTTTTGTAACCTCTTCCCAAAGGCAACGCAGAGCGCTATATAGTTTCAGTGTTCGCCATCAAATAGCAACGGTTTTTGAATGTCTCACAAATGCGCTTCTTTTGTAATATAAAAGACAGTGTATACCAAAAGCAAATATTAGAAAGATGTTATGTTTAAATAACAAAAAACAACAAAAAATATAAACCTAACTTTTGCAAAACTCTTAAATATAAGAAAATCAAAACTTCGACAGAGTACTCTGTACCATTTGAATCTCCGTACCCGGTACTCAGCTTCTGGAAAAAAGTAGTACCTACTTGGTAATGGCGTTACAATGAATTTGATGTTCCTTAGTTTCTTGTTGCATAACCCGGTTTTAAGCTTTCTTTTATCAAAATACAGCTCATATAATAGAAATAGCAGGGTGTTTAAACTGATTTTTTTGAGTTTTCTTACATTTTCAATAATAATCCGGTTTACTATATAAATTTATAAATAATTAAAACTTTTTTCAACTAAGGAATATGAAGTAAATTTGGAAAAAAACTACTAATCTATCTGCAAAAATGACTAGCTAGCTGGTTGTCAAACTTGAGCGTAGCTTAGCAACTAGTAATTAAGACCCAATATATCTTCTTCTTTTGCAAGAACCTTTCAGAATATGAGAAAATAAATATTGCTAGCTATTTGTTGAATACATAGCACAGAAGAACTTTGAATCTATGTCTGAACGAACTTGTCGTCACTTTATTTGAATGTACAAAGCTATCAGTACTAAGCGCTAGTGGGGGAGCTAAGTCGATTGCTTCTGACGCAGTCGACAAAAAGGGAAACATCGTTGGCCGGATAGTGGGTTATAGGTGAGATCTGCATCATGCAGGGTCATTTGAGGGCCTGGCAATTCAAATATTTTTGGTCAGGTCAAAACAAAACTGTCACTTTGAAATTCAAATTATTAAATAATTTAAACCAACTAAATGTCTACTATTTTCTGATATTATACGTAGTTTATTTTCATACTGCACGTGTCAAGCACAAATATCCGCTAGGTAGGTGTCATCGGTCGGTCAGCGAATAATCTGCCGAATTTGCACCCATTAACATATGATAGATAATCCTTAATGCATGAGATCCTAGACTATTTAACCGTGTCTAAGCGTCGAAGTATGAAGAATACAATGTTGATTACCGCGATTGATCCGACAATGCACCTTCTTCCATGTTCGATCGGATCAGCGTGTGCGAAACAAAATTAAGAGAGATATAATGAGGATGCGTAACGGTACTCGTTTGGGATTTTTGCGGAAAAAGAGAATCCGTACAAAGTGGTACAGAGGTCAGGAGTGAAGGCCGATAAGATTTGTCCACGGATAGCGTTATTGATGAGGAGATGACCGACTATCGGTTGAATTGCCGGTTAAGAGTTAAAGAGGTTACGAGTCGTCGAAATATAACACCTTACATAATCGGCAGGTGTCCCTATAAAAGAAATATTTCTAACCAAGAAGATTCACGATCCGCTAAGAAACGAAGAAATTGGCAAACACTTTGCTACATTCCTTAATAGCAGTATAAAACCTTTGACTAATCCAGTTACTTATGTTGTCTGGGCCCAAACTACAAGGCGTTCGTCAATGATATTCTGATATTTAGATTCTTCAGAATTTAATGAGGAAATCCGTTCAAAGAAAAATATTTGCAAAAAATTGGTATCATTTTATGGCCACATTTTAGTTACAGCTATACTATATACGAGCCCCTTCCCACTTCAGTGGGCCCAACTATTGAAATCTTAGTATTTTTCTTATCAAACACAAATAATAAAAATGTAGCAGGGTGTTATAGGTTTAAAATATTAACAATGAATATTTTGATAATATATAGTAGAAAACACCAACTTTATCACTCCCTAATCAAATTTGCAGCATAAAAATAACATGTTACAATTACAGCATATCAACCTATTTTCAATTCAATGCAAAATAAGTCTATAACGCATAGGTGGCTGTGACAAATAAAAGCCATGACAATTGTTTTTATTAATCACAGCAGTCAGAATACGTTTAAAATAGTTTTGGGTAGTTAAGGTATTCAAAATGGGTAGAGGATAGGTTATTATTGAGAAAATTCGGTTACTGATAATTAAATTTTTTAATTCTGGGAAATCAAACTCAGAATTTGTAACTTTGTTAGACTTATCGCGGCACAGTGTGAGAAATATTGTTAGAAGATATAACGTAACTGGTTCAATTAATATTAAGCCACGATATGTGAAAAAAAGTAATATCACAACTGCCGACCGAAGAGCATTAAGAAGAATAATCGTGAAAAACAGGCGTTATTTACAATTAAGTGCTCTGTGGAGAGACACTGTTGGAAGGAGAATTTCGAGGTCCACAACCCATAGAAACGCCCACAAACTGGGATTTAGCACTTGCAAGGTAAGTTTTATTATAAAAAAAAAGTGAAGCAAAAATCCTAAAGTTGCACAACTTGTTTATAGGCCAAAGAAAAGCCACTATTAACTCCACTGCAAAAGAAAAATCGGCTTAGATGGGCTAAAGAAAATATACAATGGACACCTGAACAATGGTGTGGAATACAATGGAGTGATGAGCCCCGATTCGAAGTTTGTGTTGACTGTCTGAAGAGAAAAGTGAAATTTCCAGCATCCATTATGGTCTGGGCCAGTATGTCATCAAAAGGAGTAGGAAAACTTCATTTTATTGATGGAAATGTGGATACAAACAAATATTTGGCAATTTTAGAAGAATCGCTTTTACCAGTGATGGAAGAATGGTTGACATCCGGCCAAGATTTTGTGTTTCAGCAAGATGGTGCAGCGTGCCATACCTCAAAAAAGGCTATAAAATGGATGGAAGAATAATGTACCACTTTTGAAATGGGTTTCTAGCAGTCCAGATCTGTCACCTGTTGAAACTTTGTGGCACGAGACGAAAAAGGTTCTACGACAACATCCTGCTCGTACGAGTACAATCACCGAACTGAGACAAAAGCTTCAAAAAATATGGAAAAACACTATGCCCCAAAGAATTTGAGTCGTAATAAAAAATAAAGGTGATGTTACCCAATGGTAATCTTTCAATTGTTGCTTTGTTAACTTAGCGCATTTATTTGCAAATTGTTTATTTGTTCAGATGTTCTATTAGTTATAGGTCTAAGTGATTTTAAATATGTATTTTTTACGACTAGAGTGTATCTAAAATTTTTTTGAGAAAATAATTTTTTTTAGAAGTAAATAGTTTCGTCATGTTTAGTTTCAAAAGGCATATTTTGGTACAAATCTTGAAGTGGGCCAATTGAAGTGGGAAGAGACTCGTACATGACAGTATAAATGATGATTGATGTCCATTTTTACTAACATGTTTCACATTAGACGAGCTCGTGGAGTATAGTCGTTTTTGCTAGATATACACATGCTCGATTGACGTTATTTGATATAATAATAATAATATAAAACTTGAACCATGTCCATGTTGTTTAAGCCATGTTTAGTATGTACATGTACATTTTAATGCAATGCCAGAACACATTTCATATAAGAACAACTTACCGCTCCTCAAAGACCCTTCTCCTATAGTCATCGTAGCGGTAGGAGTTCCGCCTCCAGTATTCACGCCCGTCGTTCCTATGGCAACTGCCCTGCTTGGGGGCGGTCGCGTAGACACCTCCGCCTCCTCTTTCAAAGGGGGTGTGTCGAAAGTAGGTCTACCCGCCGTGCTGAGATGCCGCGGGCGGGGAGGTTGCGGACTGGCGCTCCGCCCTAGTTGAGGTAGGGACGGAGACGCGCGACCACCAGGAAACGTCGCGTTGCGTTTATGGCGACGTGGAAACACCTGTAAGACAAATTAAAAGGTGCAGGTTGGGCAAAGGTTGCATAAGCGCTCAATTTATCTGTTAACAGATATAGCTAAAAGCACTGTAAAGAGACTAACATCCCAGGCTATTTGAACGTTTCTTAGGATTTCCGTTGAATATAATAATAATGATCCTACAAAGATGGTCTAATTCAATACTGCCATGTAAAGGGTAAGTTTTTATTGTAGGCTCGGTCGACAACTCACTTGTGTTAGTAGCGTGGTGCACCACGCATGGCAAGTGAAGAAAATAAATTCAAAAATTGTAGCCAGCAGTATGCTTTTATTTCCATATGGTGATACATAACCACGTGGTGACCCAAACATATATGTTCTTCCTATGCCACTGTAGTATTGTAATTGTAAAATATTTAGAGATATTATGTTCTAAAATCTCCAAACATGTACACAAAATCATGCTAAATATGCAAATTTTAAGGTCCAACCGGACGCTACCTGTCTATGATCAGACAACAATTTCGGATTGCCCCAGGCATTGAGACTGGGCACTGTCAGCTAAGAAAGCATATTTGTAACATAATATTGAGTGACTCGTCTTTATGTAGAGTTTATGGACAGGAAGATGAAACAGTCAAGAACAGAATATAGAAGGTCCTATCGAATTCTCATGCGGGCCACTGCCCCCTTCTCCCCCTTCTGCAGTCGCTCAAGGTTCTATGTTAATCAGTGCCATGACCTAATCCTAGAGACACTTACCGCTAAAAGCTCCGCCCACCACCTAGCATCCTCGCGACTGGCCGCCTTAACGAACGTAACCCTGTCCGGCCCTGTGAGTGCGAGCGAGTGGGGGTGACCGGTAATCTGCTCCGCCCCAGTTACCTCTAACACCTTGCACATATCCACGCTGCCCTGTGGCACTGTATCCGGCTGAAACAAAATGAGAAAATAAAATGGATCCTTCAGTCAACAACATTAGGTATGATTATTATTACTGCATTATCCTATCTATCATATTTGAAGTAAAATGAGTACCTCAATTTCATGGAAGACCAGTAGTATACTTTCAAAATGTCCAAAATGCCTGGATCATTTAAAAACGAATATAAAAAAGTACCATCGTGGGCATGTCCGCAATAATGGTACAGAGGCGGAAATAGGACTGGTAACCCGAGCGACGTACGTTTCTGCTTATTGCCTTCATGATGCCCAAATGGATGTGCGTCGCAAACACCCAAATAAAACCATATGCCCATTACATCTAGATACGGGCGTAAACTGAAGGAAAACAAGGATGGAAAGGTAAATACAACGAGAAGCCACCGACCCTCGGGTTACAAATTCTTTTCCTTTATACGAGTTAATTTTTACTGACGTGGTTAAAACGCGCGTAGCTTAAAATGTCATTAGGTTTTCAATGATTTCCCAATTTTCCGCGCAATTTTCTTGATTTTTCTTCCCGTAAGAACCTTCTATACAGCATTAGGAAACTTAAAAAAAAAGATGACTGAAATCGGTAAAGTCGTTCTCAAGTTATGGCGTGACCACCCGAAATAGAGATTCATCTTATATATAACATATATAGATATAGTATGTTTCTACAATAGTATGGAAGATCCTGTAAGATGCTTAGATTGAACGAATCCATCATTGCAATTTAAGACGGCATCGTGCTCTCCAAAACGACATACGAGCATCAAATCATCTGTCGTGCCAGACGCGACACCCTCCTCCATCGTCACGAACACGTCAAAAGTCCCCCGAAAAACGTGAAAACCCATCCAAAACTGTTTTCGTAGCACAACGATTAATTATTGTGATGCAATATTAGACTACAATCTCTCATTTAGAGGAAACAATGTTGTTTGTCTTGTGAGGCAATAATATAAGACCCGACAGTTTGGACTTAAGACGGCGAAGTAAAACATCAGCACATTTGAGATGCAATAACAAACTATAAGAAAAAACATGGATAAAAAACTCATGGTCCATTAGTTAGTTCGGAGAATATCAATTAGATCTTTCCATAGAGGATACTCAACCAAGTTGGGTTACAGTCTGTAGAAAAACTAGAAAGAAAATTGTTTAGCTTTATATACACTGATTCCTTTACCTTCCTGGTCATCAATGATCATAGTGGATAAAACCAAGTAACTGTTTGACTCTTATCCATTATGTTCATTGTGTGGATTTTACCAAAACGTGTGTTTCCTGCGAATCAAATTAAATTCAGAAAGATGGAATTGACAGTATTTAAGAATCCTGATTGACGAAGGAGCTGAATAAGATGTAATTCAAAACAACACAAAACTATTGTATACATCTTTAGGTAGCAGCACTTCTAGGTACAAGATTGGTGTATGTTCTAAGTAGTAAACGCGGGATGACGAAGGCAAAGTTAGTGCCTTGACTTGAAAGAAATCGAAATCGATTAGGCGTAAACGCGGTATGACGTTTTGACATGAGAAATTGTATCTTGTGGTGTCGTCCGCCGCAACCGATATACTGTGTTGGATTTCTCGATGACCCTTCTTGTGTTCCACCTGTTCTGGCCAGGCCGATCCTAATTTGCATGGAAGGAATGCGAATTTCTTATTATCTCGGCAAGCTCATCCGTCCGATAGATCGGCCGTGGTAATGAAATTTTACACGCCCTGTAGAACGTACAGTGGCGTGGTAGCCATAACAGAACACGTTCACTTCTGATATTATAAGGCCTTTCGTTGGAATTTTGTGAATCTTCGCCATCTTCTCCATCTTTCAACTTTTTCTGTGGACCGAAGGCTCTAAGTGGCATGTTTTGGGATTTCAAGACCCTCAACAAGGGTTAAAATGTAGTCAAAAGTTTGGATTTTTATCAATAACAGTTCTTATAAATGTGAACAGACCTGCGCAAAAATGAAGGCTCGGATGTATTCATATAGGTATAAAATATTTAATTTTATCGTATTTTGACGTTCTTTCCAAAAGAATAAGTTTGACATACTTTATTTTTATGGTCGTCGTCGATTCTTATCAAGTAGGACCTTTACCTTTATGTGAAGTCTCTAGTTATTAGTACGTTTGCCAGTCTCTTAGTTTGGTCACCCAAACACCATAAACAAGAGTCAAAACTTAAAGGATAACAGACAAGCGAAAATGTAAAGGAACAAGGGTGAAGAGCAAAAAAATAAGTGCCACGGTTAGAAGAGTCTCGACATTAGTTCACGTGAATAATTTATAAGCTGTTTAAAATTTCATTTAGTGTGGCGAAGTAAATTTTGATCACAGTACGAGTTGTGGCATGGAGTGTTTGCGAACTTGCTTCACTGTGTGGTCGACCAACTCACGGGATTTCAAGATCTCTGTATAGTTTTAATATTATTGTTCTTAAGGACCTGTCTTGGCTAAAAAACACCAAGCTGCACATGAGTACGTAATAGCAGATCTAATGATCATTTTGTAAAGCCGAATTTTGTTATCCAAATTTTATTTCGACGTTCTACAGAATAAAGGATAAACTTGCCGAAACGTAAGTTGGAATTTTATTTTCAATGCTTCATTATGTTTCCACCTGGTCATATCCTTGCCAAGAGACACTCCAAGTATCTATCAGAATTTTTACATGTTACTAAAGTCCCATTAACAGAGACCTCTAGATGGGTGTCGCCACGCTTCTTGAAACAATAGAGAGCTTGCGTTTTCGGATGGTTAATTTCGATCGACCACCGATCCGCCTACTCCCACACCGCTTTTTATCATGGACTAGGTTACCAGACCGAGACTGGGCCACCAGCGCTGTGTCATCAGCATAGAGAAAAACTTCCTAGTCGTTGGGGCAAACATCATGTATGGACAACGGGTAAAGGATTGTCCCGAGAACCGAACCCTGACGAACACTGGATTGGATCACTGGATATTTTGTCTCAAAAAACACTCAACTTTGACAGTCAGTCACTTTTGCAGATAGAGTCGCAAATTTTACATAAAAATGAGCTTCATATCACATAGCTCATACTTATTTAAACGTTTTTCTAATGTCTTGTAATACTTATGCATGGTGTTTTAAAACGCAAAATGTACTCTTACTCGATAATTTCAAATGTAACGTAAGACTGCGTGCTAGGTTTCTAATCTTTCGATATCAAATTTATAGTGAGGTTTAGCTACTAATTTTTTATTTGGTGTCTTCCAGAAATTACAATTCATAATCTAGATAAAAACTGTATATGCCTGAAAATAAGGAATTTTAATAGAAGGGTGCAAGTCGTCACTTAAATCATCTTACACTAACGATCTACCGGAGGTTAATCATTGGAGGCAAACTTGATTAAAAAGTATTTGTTATACAAATGAATATAGCAGGCACTTTAAGATACTTAAGACTTTTAAAAAATCCTCAAATTGATATTTGACCTGATATAAGTGTTGTTACTCTGTTGATATTATTAGAATATCCTGAAGGATCTAATATATCTACTCACATTTAGTTGCAGCACTAGAATATTTCTTTGTCCCAATAGTTACAACACATTCAACAAGCTATTAACCATTCTGAAAAGTTCGTATTGAGATTTCTCCGCTGCTAACATAACTATAGAACAGCGCCACTGGCATGTCTCGGTCCTACGGGGGGCAGATCGTGCTTCGGCTACCCGCGAATGCCGTGGCGATAGTGATTTGTCGGATTTATTAATTGATCTTGTAATCACGCGTCAAAATCTACGTCCTTGAAGGTCTGCTGAATACACATGTATGAGGCGCTTGAAATGCCTGATTCATGCATGGAAAAATACCTGCAAGAACAAGCTGGGAGAGCTAAAAAGGTCCTTTGTAGACAGCTCATCCATCGATGCCTAAAGTAAATCTGTATGATGGGGAACCACACGGGTATCTTGAAAAGTGACATTATGTCCATTTTTTGACATTATAATGGTTTTTTGTGACATGATGTAGGTTTTTTCTACAAGATGTTAACTTAGCACTAGATGATGGACATGTTGTGAACTTGTTTTATAGTTGTACGTATTGCCTAAACGTCATGAGGCTTCAGTTATCAATGTTTGGCTCTGATGTAATGTAAAATCTGCTTCAGAGATGGCACTACTGGAGGTAACGGCAATGCATAGGTGCATAGTGAGGATTTGTGTGCTAATAACATGTGTTGATGATAATTCCATTGAATTCTTGCCTCAAATTCACTTACTTGAGATTCAAAGTACTTGAGATTCAAAGCTAGAAATTAGTTGCGCATCCACTTTTTCTGATCCATTCTGGAAATTAGGTACAAATGCAAATTTGCTCAATTTCAAAAATGAGAGAGATAAGAGATAATTATAGTCACTATCAAATTACAAGTCATATACATGCTAACAGTAATTACACACAACGCGGCGTGGTGAGATTTCCCATCATTCTCCTCAAAGTTTTTGAAAACACAAAAAACGTAAGAAGTCGTGATTTATAACTTTGAACATGTCTTCAGAAAGAGCAACATACAGATAATCCGTAGGGAACAGCTAATAAATACGAGTATACTCCATTGGCAGCATCACAATCACACACACCCAATCATCCAGATCCGGTCTTGCTATTCAACTTTCAACTTTCTTCTCAGAGATGACAACTATAGGCTACTCGGCTTCACAAAACATATGCAACCAACAATGTGTGTAGTTGACCTATTCCTCAATAGATGGAAGTTCACAACGATCCTTGTGAGCAAACGTGGAATGATTGTTTGCACCCTAAAAACTACCTAGCCTGCAAGATGACATTTTATGGGTTTTTTACATAATACCCGTGCCGCGCTCTGTGAGTGTAGGGCTTCACTCTTGATTCTCCGATTTTTGTACTGGTTAGTGAGTAGTGTCAGTGATTCATATTCTAACGGAAGATATCCAAGTCAATACCTTCTTTAGATGTCAATGTTGTCCTCTATCGAACTATTGCCGCAGATTATAGGATTTCCTTTTCCGTTGTTGAAATTCTGAGAATACGAAATCTTGAGGAATAATTACGTCGGTAGTTTAGCTTCCTTGGAAGATTGGGGGCCCCGGTAGCTCGGTGGTTAGCGCGTGGAGTTAGCATTCGGTCGACCCGAGGCTCGCGTGTTCGAATCTCCGCCTTGAAAGTTAATTCCGAGCCAAGGATATTGTGTTAAGTGTTGTCTATGTCACGCGCCAGATCGGTGCAAGATTGACGATAAGTACATCTCGTCGCTGTAGATGTTTGCTCAATAATCAGTTGCCAGTACATGGCTTGTGTATAGTGCTGATACTATGTCATGTTTAAGAATAAGCAATTTTTTGAAAACGAAAATGGAGTAATGTTTTTATTACTACCGAGGGAATTTCTGCGATACTACTATTCAACATGGCTGTGATAATGAAAATTGTAAGTGAACGTCCAAAGACACCATATAGATGGGCTTATTCTTGAGGAATACGTTAATCAATGCTATGCTCGGGTACCGAAAAGGAAGACAATAGCGGAATCGTACGCCACTGCCAGCGCGGCATCTCTGTGAAAACGGCGGGATATGGACGCGCACCGACTTTGTCGCTGCAAAGGCACGCCGCGCTAGCAGTGTCTATGTTATGGATTTTGTTGCTCTCTGCCTTTTCGGTGCCAGAGTATAGTGTAGAACATACAATACAATACGGTACATGCGAGGAGCATTCTACGTAGCAGAACCTATAACTCGGGCGCTTTTCAAACCTGACTAATAGTGACCACATATACTGTGACCAGTAAGGATGGCAAATCAGTTCCCTAGTAAGGCACATAGCAGTTTCTAAACACCTGAAAAAATCTGCTTCTGAAATGACACAGCGATGGTGTTACTATGAAGTTTTGGAGATTCTGGTGCCTTTCGTTGAAGTTTCTGCTAAAATCCCATGGTTTTATCCCCCAACCCATGGAGTTTTCAATAGTGAATCATTATGGTCTTCATTTAAAAGTCTATTTTTAGGTTTTTTCTTCTTTTTCTTCTCATGCTCCCAAACATTAGTAATTTTTTGCTTTACTACAATCTGGTTGGCTACATTTCTATTTCCATCGCCGAGTTCTTGAAATATTAGTACAGGGACCTGGTAGTTGTGACTGATTTTACACTACCCATACCGCGTTTTTTCAAATGTTCAAAGACTTATTTCTATGGACAGATATACCGACTATTAGGTGTCGGATTTCTGTATTTTTAATAGGTATTTGCGAGAAGTACTTGAGCGCACGTTTTACGCAGCCGTACCATCGCCCATCTTTGGCATCATCGACCAACCCATGCCTGCAATGTTTTATTCACGTCCGATAAGATATTCTTGCTAATCGATCAGCAGCGGCTAGCGAACACACAGACGCACCACAATCGAAAGTGATTCGTTATTTTTTGCAATCCACCGTGAATCTTTTTCTCATTATCTGCTCGTTAATTTTTATCGTCAAGATAGTGGCGCGTGCATCGTGAGCTGGGACAGAGAATTTCATGATCAATACAGAATTACGAGTTGCACAATTGCATATAATGCATCGACATTCGGAATTCGCAAGATAACGTTATGTAATTGTAAGGCTTGGTGCACACTTTATACTGATGCAGTCTCACTTCTGAGAGCGGAATCGATATTCCGCTAATGTTGTTTACCACTACTATTCACCTCTAACCAAAACATGGAAAGAACCTATACTGGATTTCTGCGAATCCTTAGAATAATACGTTTTGAGTAGGGTCTTGAAATATGATGTCATATTATGATAATATCCAGCGAGATTTTGGATTCGACTTTTACAGTTCTGTATTACAGACAACCAAAGTAGTGTCCCCGAGGTTAGTCAAATCATCGCATCGTAATCTGGAATTGCTTTCTAGACGAGTTGCGAGGACAGGCACTTATCGGTATTCGCAAGTCACAGTCCCACGTCTGACAGCAGTGTCGGAATCTATGAATGATCTATAAATGCTGCGTAAAAAATAGCTCTGATTATTTTCAAAATATGCAATGCCTTTATGTGCCCTGCGAATGTGCTGTTTTATCCGGTGATGGACCTACAAGTCTTTTCCTTAAAATTTCGATACTATTAAGTACCAAGTCGGTTACCAGATAGCCAAAGTATCCCAAAATTAACACAACATTTGATTTAAATCTTGAGGGCGGTAAAGGAAGGGGTTGAAGTCATTTCCGTCGGACTGCCACTATGCCAAAAATTAAAAAGTTTTGTAATTTCTGAAGGGTCATGTGTAGTGGGGGTTGTACGCTTCTAATTCCGATAACTATACGCACATAGGGTGACTTTGAAGTTGAGTCATTAATTTTCAGATAATGATTGTAGAAGGAAGATAAACCAAAATATGTGTGTAAAAATAAAAAAAAATGTTACCTTGTTTTATAAAGTACCCTCCCAACAAGTATTTCAGTGCGGACCTGTATTTGATCGTACGGTCTTGGAGCACCGGCATGCCCGCCCCTGTGAGGTCTTAAGTCACCTGATTCACGAGCCCTTTGTACTACATTAACAAAGGCACGAGGGGTTGGTTGCACTCGATTGGGAAACCGATCCGCATAAATCCGTGATGCCGCGGCAGCATTTTGTAAAGACTCCCCCCCGTAAATAAGAATCATGTCCACAAGTTCAGCATTTTCGTAAACATGTGCCATTTTTTATTTCGTTTGAGCCACGCAACAAACACCACTATTCACTCACGCGTTACCGACTGACACATTGAATACAACTGAATAAAATTGTAGTAAAAACATCGTTAAAGCGTTTCAAATTCTTTCGCTTTTTTGTTTCCGATGCGATGAACCGATAGGGCGGATTATATCCGTTGTTGCCAAACACGAGCACATAATATTATTATTGAGACAGGGCGGTACTCAAACTTCTAAAACTTTGTTACTTTAATTTTACCACAAAAATGTTAAAGGAAAAAACATTTCTTTTGCTCAGATCTACTCACTGTTAAAATAAATGACTAAACTTCGAAGTATAAAAGGAAATTTATGTGTAAAATATAAATTTCCTTGTATATTTGCCCTTAAGAATTGAAGCCCGATACCTGCCGTTATTCTCCACATAATTTATTACAAATATGCGACTAGCTTAGGAAGCATAAAAAAACGACGGTTGCACGACTATTTATATGTCACCGCCGCATTTTATCAGCATATCTAGTAATGCCCACCGCAACATGTTCTTATGAATAACACTATGGTAACGGCCTTCAATCAGCATTTGTAAATACACACGGCGACCTTGCAGATCAACAAACAACAAATCAGCAGACTGACGAAGAGTGATTTATCCGCTGTTAGAATATCGTGCGCTTAGTGTCAAAAGAATTGCAACATCGAGAGACATTATCGCGCGCCAAGGTAAACGATATACCTACTTTTACGCTAGATGAAAATGGTGCGGTTTGCAGCTGCGGCAGAGTGCGCAAAGTTCGCGTGATCATCTAATACTAATACAGTCAATGAATTCCGAATAGCTTAGACTTAGAAGAAGCTATATATTTACATAACAATGTTTGTCGCCAAAATTATGGAGTTTGAGTGTATACTTTTGGGAAGATTTGCCTAGCCATGTCAACCGTGGTGACAAACTCAATGCGTCGGCGTATATTATTTTATCCTTGTTATGTGAATCGCTCAAAAACTATTAATAAATAGGGATAAGTTAGGGCAAATGAACGAAAATAAATATTTATTAACCGTACAGCATAAAACCAATTCTGGCATAATTCCTGATTTTTGGAAGATGAAAAACTACCTTTATCGAACAGAAGCAATGACGGAATACGTGATATTGACACTTTGTATGAAAACCACTCAATTTTTCTAAATAGTTGTTGTGATTCGAGCAGATTCTTGACTAAAAGCCTAGTTGAGCATATGGAAATTACTGGTGTTACAGCATAGTCAGTATATTGATCTAATAAAAAGATTTTGGAGGGATTTAATTAATTTGATATTCACAGAATTTTTGGGGCGTGTGAGCTTCCTCAACATAATCCTGTGGCACTAAAATAAAAAATCGTAAAATTACTATTCATAACGCGAAATTAAAGAGCTTTGTTCAATACCCTTAGATTCAAAATGAAATAAGACTGAAAGTTGCAGTTCCGGTTGGCCCTTTTCAGCAGCCATGAAGAATTTTCGTTTGTTCTTAATATTTTGCATTTTTCATGTTATGTTAGGCATGCAATTTTGTTATCTAACCTTAGATTGGGACTGCGCGCTCGAAGAGACAAGATGTGAAAAGAAATCAATTAAAATCAATACGCATGTTTTCGAGAAAATGATCAGGTGTGGATGAATCAGATCGCATAAACAACGATGACAAACATGAAAATTATGGAGCAGTTTTGTTTCGTTTTTTGATGAACCTGCCAGACAGACCTACCTAGCTTCGTCCCCCCCCATCATAACCGTGTCGAACTTCGTACACCCATAACTGGCACATAAGACCGCTTCTTTGTTACTAAGGTGTCGGGAACAATCTGTCTGAAGAGGCAGTTCTACTAGCCTTAGGCATTTCAGAAATTGGATGAACAAGTCTTTAAGCTCCTTATAGTACTCGCGGTGCCCCGGTATTTAGGCTTCTGAATGCATAAAAAAATTAGTAGAATCTGGAGCATAGGGTTTTAAAAAAGTACCATCAAGGCGTCTAGGAAGACTCTAAGGCAAAAAGTTTATATAAGCATAGGCCTGGAATGTATCGAATTCAATATACACAGTACCAAACTTTTATTTTGAAAACTATTTTGTGAAGTCTTCGAAAACGTTTAGCCAGTTTTGTTGAAATATATTAAAATGGGTCAAAATAAATTACAGCAATTCTGCATTCGTTGGGTCAACCCTTTTTTAATGATAACTAAAATTGTATGCCTCCATCGTTAAACATCTGACGGACTCTATTCCGGTGATCTAGGCGGCCATAACCATTAGGATTTTAGCTAGGTTTGACTAAGCTAGTGTTAGATTAACACGTTAAAACATTTTTGAAAAAGTTTTATACTCTGAATATTGGAGATGAGGCATTACCGGACATACTTATATAAACTGTCAGTCTTAGATATTGCTCAATGAAAAAGCCCCTCAAGTTTGTCCAGTGGGAGCCACTGGCTACTATAAAAACTCACGAGGCATAAGGTAAAGTCCTAATAGAGGAACCCCGCTAATATAAAAAAGATTACATAATTAAAAATATACAATCCTCACCCATGCTCATATCAATCCATCAGCTTAGATTTTGATATGTGAGTTTGTTACAGCTTATAATCTGTGGTTTGCTTTAAGCTCTTAAGTTCACGTCACAATCATTTGTTTCCACGTTTATTCTGGGAGGATAGGTACAGTGTGTTTGAAGCATTTATGCTGTGTGATTCAATGTGTACTGAAAGATGTGTTGTTAGCTCTTAGAACTTTAGATGGTTTGTATAGGTTTAATTTGAATATGAATTTATTTGTTTTGTCTAGACCGCGAATAGATTTATGGGTGACACGGTTTTTCGTGCTGTACATGTCTTGTGACATTCAAAAAACGTAATATTTCTATTTTTTTACGATTACACTACTTCCTCGCCAATTGGCGTCGGGCGTAAAAACCACGGTGGCAGAGGCATCTGCGATTTCGAGTATTTATGCCAAAGATCGGTCTAATTGGTTATGCTCGACTCGTGTTGGGTATTATGGTACTTTCACTATTCCTTAACAGCGGTCACCAACACCAGCGGACTCGCTCACTCTCTGACTAGCTGTGGATTATTGCCAAAGTCACCGTCAGATTACAACTCATCCAGATATAGTGTAGTCAGAGTAGTGATTGATAAGATTTATAACAATAAGACAATATATCTTAAACTTTTATGTGAAAGGTCAATAACTATAGATTTAGAGGGGAAACGAAATAAGATTTGATCCTACACTACAAATTTATGACGTAGAAATAAGATTTCATTGATGACTACAATCTACAGTTATCATAATGTTTGGCATGGAAACAAAAGATTCTTAAATCTCAACTACAATCGTCAAGCATGCATTTTGTAACAACAGACATAGTTAAAATAAGACCGACTACATACAGATAAGTTTGCTACCCGGACTCACGCATTTTCAAATATTGGAACATCCTGTATTGTAATATCGTAATTTTGTTGGACCTAATTTATTGTGCCTTCAAGCTCTGATAGTCTGTATAAACTATAGATTCCCACTAAACATTACGAGGGCGTTCCATGACTAATCCATTAGACTTATCGACATTTTAACATCTTTTTAGTGATTTTTACTTATCACGCTTCAGCGAAGGAAGTATTGGAATCACGAACATTTACAAAGTTCACTTACAAGTTTTTTCGGGTATCTTAACGTCTGCTCCACGAAAAGATGGGAAAAATGAGTGAAAACACTAAGGCGTCCCAAATCGTTAACGCACTCCATTTTCACGTTTCGCAATTTTCATATTCATGGGCGTTGTCAGAGCAATATTCAGATATATCAAAATTAAAAAAAATTCCAAAACCAATTGTACACTGTTTGAGGTTAGGGCGTAATTAAACAACCTTTTTCTGGAGGCTCATACATATATCAACAATGATTCTCCAACGGTATTTGTGTATTGGACATTTTCATCTTGAATGTACAAATTCAAGTATAGAGGCATATGAAGCTTAAATGACACCTTCTTCCGGTTGAGAGCCATAAAACTCATTTTTGATCCTGGATGAAAAAAATTAAGAAATTCGTGAAGGTGCAATACTTGAGCATAAAGCCTTTTCAGTTCCCACGTCAGTGGAGACGAAGTACTGTAATTGTGAAACATTTCGAAAACGGAATAATCCGTTTTTGGATGGAAAACATGTTACTCATTTCAGTCGGCCTGTCTGGCCGTCAGTCTATCTGTCGATCAGTTTGTCCGCTGATCTTTGAGCATAGCTCAAATTTTGTGTAATTTTGATTTGAGACTATTAATATGCCAAGAACTCAAAAGATTTGTAATTTTTCAAAATCAACCTAGTGTCGGCGAATCCACGGGAAAAAATGAAGAAAAATAAGTTTTGACGTTTCCGCGTCTTCTGCTGATTTGTCGGAATAAAAATTTGTAGATAAAAAAATTTTAGGTGTAGTCTTGTAGGTGGTGGGGTGGTATCCAATTTTTTTGGTGGCAGTATATTAATGCCTTTCTAACCCCGGTAACTATATGCGCCTGTCAAGCCTTGAAAGAAGTAGGTACGCAGAGGAGGCTGGATCTACCTATGCCGACGTGCATCAAAAAAGCACCGGAATTTTTATTAAGGGGACGACTTGAGGCCATTTTCTCAATTCACCATACCGAATGTTGACGTTATTGTATTAGTAGGACTGCTGTGACCAAAACGACTGTTCTATTGGAAACCTTGCCGATCCTTGGAAACAGGTGCTACGCTGTCTGGCGGTGGCACTGCACTAGATTATTTCGTTATTTTATGCCTCCGTACCGTGCGTTT